GTTTTGAGAATGATGAGGGCAATGAATGTACAAATGTGCTTTACACAATTGATGTATGTATGGATTGTGATGAGAGTTGTATGAGCCCCCAATAAAATGATTAAAAAAAGAAATACTGAGACAGAATCCAAATTAAGAAAGAAGTGTGAAACACAGAAGAAGCCTTGTCAGAATGATCAAGCATGAAACAGGGTGTTCCAGAAGAGATGAGTGACAGTGTTAGAAACTGAAAGGGACCCCTGCGAAGGGAAAATGTGTAACAAATGTTTTAATGAGGGCTGGAGTAGTATGGAGAAAAAGATTTCACTTAAATTGTAAAGTAAAAAGAGTAAGCTGCAGACAGATTACTGAGAAAAAGTACATTTGTGTAAGAATAAAATACACATGGTTGAAAATGCAGAGAACATTTTTGGCAGGGCTACATAAGACACTGTCAACAGTGCTTACTATAGGGAAGCACCAACGGGCACTCAAGGAGAACACAAAGAAATTCTACTTTGTATTTTACACTATCTCTCTATTATGTGATTTTTTACCAGGAGCACATATATTCTTATAACAGATTAAAAAGTAAAAATAGAGGGAAGGAACTTCTGGGGTAAGTAGGCAGCAGACTAGTTGAGTACGGTTCATTTTATCTAAATAAACACGCAACATAAATTGACAAAGCTATGAACTAAAAATTAAATAACATCTCTAAAACTAGGGGGAATTTCCACCAACAGAAGAATCAATTGGGAGAAGGCATAGGTGTGGTGCAAATGTTTCACGCATCCTGCAGCTAACTGAAACACTAAAGATTTGTGTCTACCTAGAGATGCCTCTACACACATGCCTATGATTTACTTAAAAAAAGAAAAATCAGGGAATCCAGGACACATGACCCCTTCAGGACCAGTGGTGAAAGTGGCAATACCAGGAGGGTGGAGTGGAAAGGGAGGAACCAATTACAAGGATCTACATATAACCTCCTCCCTGGGGGATGGACAACAGAAAAGTGGGTGAAGGGAGACATCAAACAGTGTAAGATGACAAAATAATAAAAATTTATGAATTATGAAGGGTTCGTGAGGGAGGGGGAGCAGGAAGCCGCTATTAAGGGCTCAAGTAGAAAGCAAATGTTTTGAGAAATGATGATGGCAACAAATGTACAGATGTGCTTGACACAATGGATGTAGGTATGGATTGTGTTAAGAATTGTATGAGTCCCCAATAAAATGATTAAAATAAATAAATAAATTTAATTTTAAAAAGAAAAATCAACCATGAAAACCCATCCAGAAGAAACATAGACTCTGACTTTGACCACTCTGGGTCCACGTTGTCAACAATTGGTCTATTGCATAGACAGATGCACCCCCAAAACCAGGGAGAACCACAGAGGAGGAATGACTCATTCACTGAATTCTCTGGACCTCAGGCCACCAAGAGTACCACACCAAACAAAATTAGCAAGAGCTACCACAACACAGAGCTTTAGTATTCCCACTTACATCAACTTTCCCTCTTTCTATCAATTCAGAACATGTAACACCCAGCATGGACAGTAAAGGGGATGGAAGTAACAAAAGGAATTGTACCATATTAGCCCATATGTCCAATACGAATTTATAAAGTCCTCTTCAAACTCACGAAACACATGCAATGATGCCGAATGCAGGAAGATCACAGGCTAGTGGGTGGGAAATCTTGTGGATCCAGTGGAAGTTTAAGCATGTCAGCGCTGGCAGGGGTCTCCATGTGGTTCCTTCTGACATTGAATCCACAAGCTTTGCACCCACTGGCCTGTGATTTTCCTTCATTCTACATTGCTGTGGTTGGACTAGTATCGGGCATATGGGCTAATGTTGGACTTGATCTGGACTAGGCTGGGATGTGTTCTAACTAGAAAATTGCTTCTTTTTTTTTAAACAATTTCTCTTTGATGTAAAGCTCTTTCTAATACACATGAGCACCTCTGAATTTGTTTATCTAGTCAATCCAGCCTACCACAATCTGTGCGACTTTCTCTCATGAGAAAATATATTGAGAGAAATTCCGTTTTGATGGTGGGAAAAAGGCAGGGTTTTCATGAACAAATTGCATTCTAGATATTTAAGGGTTTTAATGATTTTTCCCTCATCATCCACATGAATTTCTTAGCATGTCCCAGACACACTCGAGTTCCGTATATTCATCAGTATCTCTGTGAAAGCTAAGCATTGGCAATTTAGAGAAAAAACAGAAACAGTCTTGGTACTGACTACTGAACAACAACTCCCCGCCATCTCATCAACCCTGACTCCAGCCGTGCTACAGGACAGGGCAGAACTGCACCTGTGAGGTCAGAGACTGTAACTGCTTCTGGGAGTAGAAAGCCCCATCTTTCTCCTGGCACGCAGTTGCTGGTTTAGAACTCCCGACTTTGAGGAATGCAGCCCAAATCGTAACAAGGATGCCACCCGGGACTCCTCTGACACTACATGTTGTCCCAGGCTGTACCTCTTCAAATTGAAGTGTCCCATTCAAAGGACTGAGATCATCTTTAGCCTTCTCCTCTACGGCCCAACGAAGTCGGACCGCCCCCTGTCCTCCTGGAGACCGGACAACCGTTAATGTCACGTAAGAATCAGCATCATCAGACAATGGGGATTCATCAACTGTGACCTGAAAGAAGAAAGTCCAATCTGGTGAAAAAGGATTAGGAGAAACAAACCTAATCTCATTTACATTGCAAAACGTAAAGGCACTGTAATTTTTAAGTTTAGAATTCTAGTCATGACATGTTACAATCATGTGGCAGACACAAAAATGTTTCACCAAACTCCATTTCTTCTTTGATGGACACTCAGGTAAACGGCATTTCTGAGCCTTTCTTGTTGCTGAGTGATGCCAGGTAAGTCCCCACTCAAGCTACTCTGACCTACAGAGATTCCACACGGCAGACCATACCTGCGCTACAGGGTTTCCTAGGCTGAAATCTTTATGGGGGCTAATTGAATAGCCAACTCAAAAGTCAGTTGGAGAAAGAACCATAAACTAAGAGTAATAAAGCATATCAAAACAAAAGTTAAATACACCTTAATACAAACAATACATGAGACCAAAAAGAACTGACTGAAGGCATGCTCTAATATATTCAACTTACAGTCTTTTCTTCAAACCCAAAGACCCCAAACGGAGAATCATTCTGTGGAATAACAACAGTCATCACAACGTCGTCACCAAGTCTGCCACCTCCAGCTACTTTGACTAAGGAAATATTGAACATCTCCATGAATTCAAAGTCAGGATCATCAATTATGGTGATTTCTATGATGGCAGTAATCTATGGGAAAAAAGAAAAAGGAAGAAAAATGTATATGTAGATGTAAAACAAGTTTTGTTCATGTATAGTTTAAATTTATAGTCAAAACATGGAAACCGAAAAGAAAAAAGCAGACTTTGGGTACGGTACATTAAAATGAAATGGAAAGTCATACATTTCTATAATACAGACAGTTCCCAGACTATTAACTAGCTCTACTCCTAAGACTATCCTTAAGTGTAATTTGTATGAAGATTGGAACAATTTGGTACAGTTCGTATCTAACACCAGTTACTCGAAATTCATTGTCTTAGTTTATAGCATCTAGTATACTATGTACATATGTATGTGTATATATATATTTAAAGAAATACTTCCGGGTACAGAAAAACATCTTTCCTTAACATATAGTACTGAAATAATAATAACAACAATGTTTTGAGGTGTCACAAGATGTGCTAAGAACTAATGCATGGACTTCAAATTTTTAGAGGGGGAAGTTGGTTCATAATTATGGGTTGCAAGTAAATCCGATGTTCATAGACCAGGTGTTTCCCTTATTTAAAGCCAAAAATTTACAAAACCTAATCCTTTCAAGAGAAAGGAAATTACTTAGTCTTTACAAATACAAATTATAATACAGGTTTATTCATGAACAATGTTTTAATGCCATGCAGTACTCTAACAGCATTGCACAACACACATAAACTTTAATATGCCAGGTACTACTATAACGTGATATAAAATACTACCATTAAATATTGGCCATTTCCTTATACAATTAAAAAAAACCCTCACTTTCAAATATTTTTCTTATAATGAAGGGCAAAGAAAGGATGGAAGAAAACTCATATTCGTTGTTCTTAATTATTTATAATCTATCTGGTGCTTTGTTCAGAACTTCATAACATGAATAAAAAATCTTGGACAACCTTGTGATTTCAACGTTAATCATAAAAACATTCTAGCTGTATCCACATATATATTTTTAAATGTATCCTTGAGGGAAATTGCACTATTTTGATGCAAAAATTGACCAGAAAATTAAGCTTGTTCCACCTAAATCAACCCAAAACCTTTCATTTTAAAATGGGCAAAAGTGACAAGCCTAGACATCATACTCAGAAACACAGAAGCCTAAACAAAATCAAATGCTAAATAGAAATATAAGTGTTTGCAACTCAAATCTATACTGTATCATTCAGAATACCTCCTGAACAAAATGTGAGCCTTAACAATGAACATGGTCTGAACTCACCCCACAACTAGCAAGTAGATTCAAACTCATATCAACCCTATGGGACTGATTAGAATTGTTCTGAGACTGTAAATCTTTGCAAAATCAGGCAGCCTCATTTTTCTCCTGCTGCGCAGTTAACCACCACAAGCAACTAACCACTGATCTTTGGTTAGCAGCCCAATGCTGAACTGCGCCATCAAGACTTCTTTCAAAATAAAGGCCCTAAGGATTCTGCTAAATAATGGCCCTTCAAATGAATGCTTATTATGAAGTAATAATAATAGAACTAGAACTGGAAGACAACTTCGAAGAAAAGTCCATTTATTTGTTTCTATAAATTCTAATTTATTGACATTTCCTCTCCTTTCAGTAGATGGTTCAAAGATTCAAATCTGGTTAAACACTCATGATTGCAAAAAACATAACAATAATTGGGATGAATGTATGTTCATCTCTTAGGAGCATTTTATTGTTCTCTATTTAACTGATAAATTGAATCACACTATGCACATATGTCTGGGCAAAACTATGTTAACTGGTGACACTGATGGGCAATTGCTAGCCACATGGTTGGTGGTTCAAATCCACCAGCAGCTCCATGGGAGAAAGATGGGACTATCTGCTCCCATAAAGATTTGCAGCCTCAGAAACCCTATAGGATCACTAGGAATCAGAATCATATGGATGACAGTAGGTTCGGCTGCCAGATAATGCTATTCCAAGTCACTAACGTATTTTCATGGTTGTTCACATGGTTTATGTACTTGCTGACTGTAAAAAATTATGAAAGCATCTCATTGTTGCCTATTAAAGCATACCCAGTCTGTAAAGCTTATAAATCTTGGGACTTATTTGATCATTTTTAAGGTTGGCTGGTCAAATTCTAAGATATCAGGATTTTTGTGGTGTGCTTTCTTATAGCATTAACTATTTGCAAATCTTTAAGGATAGTTTTCTCCTTCCCTATAATTTTAGTCTCCATTAAAATTGTAACATAAGGTTTGGATTTTACTATCCATATTTTTACTACAAATTCCAACAAATAAATACTTTAAAGTATTCATAAAATAAACATAATATATTTTAAAATTCATAAGCATAGTCTAATTCATTATGTATTAAACATTTTTAAGCTTTTAAAATCAAATTTGTCCCCTTTTATAATTTTTGATCAAATCGGGAAGTTTAGAAAAGGATGAGGTTTTCATTTCTATTGTAATCTTCCCAGGCTTATTAATGACTTTTCCATAGCTAGCAATATTTCTGTTGAAGTTGACACAGAACATTTATGTATATATTAAGTTGCAATGCCTTTAATAATTACTAATATGCATTCATTGGTAGGTGCCCATAAAATATTTGAATCCAATCATAAAATCTCATGTTTCTATTCATAAATCGCATACTTGTCCATCTGAAAATTCAAGAATCCCCTGAGATGGCATAAAGTCTTCCAGGCCCGCGCTGTCTGATATAACTTCCCAATAGACATTCACTTTCCCAAAGCTTCCAGCTAGCCGTACCACAGGAACTTGCAGAACGTTCAAGGGTGGAGGTGCCTCATAAGCAGTAACAACTCCACCAGCATCCTGTAAGTAAAGAGTTCAAGTTCAAAGGGAAGGCAAAAGTAGAAACTCTCATTAAGTCATCACTCTATAAATTTATCATTTCTACTGAGATTGCTTATACATCACCCTTCAGAACAGACATTATTGTTGGAAATAAATATGAATAATTACTCTTCAACTATCTTAGAATTTAAATTTAATGAAAATAACTTGTTTTATCCCTTCATCCCATTCAAAGAGAAGGACGAATTCATCTCTAAGCCAAATTTGGTTGCTCTTGTACTTATAAATATCACAAAGCTGAGCTGATTATTTTGCAGAAAATATGATATTATGAAATGCCAAATCAGCAGAGATGCACTTGTATATTACTATAAATGTATGAAATTTCATCTTACTCTGGAAATATGAAACTTAAAAATTCCTCTGGGATCATCATTTTCTTCGATCATTATTTCAGCTATTTCCATTCCAGGTCTGCACACAGTGGGCTGTGTTGCAGAGAAGTCAGTGTTCAACAGGTGCACGTGGGTGATATTGACAATAAATCCTTCTTCCAGCTCAGGAACATCATCCTGGGGTGGGGTGCAGAGGAAGATGGTGTTTTATTTTTTTATGATATTTAATTTGCATTTAAACCCTAATCTCCACCAGTAAAGAACAGCTGACTTGGTCCACAAGAATGGGCAACTGTTAACATATATTGTTAAAATTGTCTTTTAGACCCTGGTAGCAGAGTGGGTGATGTGTTGGGCTACTATCCACAATTCCAGTGATTCAAACGTTCCACTGCTCCATGGGAGAAAGAGGAGGTTTCTGCACCCATAATGACTTGCAGCCTCAGAATCCCAAGGGGCAATTCTACTCTGCCAGAACTAGAGGGTCTTGAGGAGTTGGAATGGACTCGATGGAAATGAGTTACTAGACACTTGAGGCGCTTATATTCAAGCTAATGATGCATCAATGGATCCTTCATGCAAATTAACTAGCAAAACCTATTTTGTAAATCGACTCAATTTTCACCATATCTTATTGATACGTATCAAAGAAATTTAGGTCCAATAGTATAAACCACAACTTTCCAAGAACCAAAGTGCAACATGGCATATATATACTGCTTGAATCTATAGACCATTTCAGAAATAGATTGGATGAACTGAACATTACTGACCTATGACCAGACAAGTTGTTATGGGGTAACTTTAAAACATGATACATAAAATAAAAGGTCCATTAAAAGATAGAAAAGGGGGAGAGAGAAATGTCAGAAGAGGCTCTGAAACTTGCTTTTGAATGCAAAGTACTTGAAGTGAATGGAAGAAATGAAATGAGTGCCAAGCACCGGATTTCAAAGATTGGCTCTAAACAATAAGATAAAGTCTTATAATAAAATGTGCAAAAACCTGGAGTTAAAAGGACCTAATGAAAAACACTCTCGGCATTTCCTACACTGAAAGAACTAACGAAAAACTCAAACCTTGTGCTGCAATATGGAAGAATTCTATCAATTCTTAATTAATCAATTTAAAATATTAATTAAGAATTCTATTACGTACTGAAGAGGCAGGAAGAATCAAAAAGATGGTAGTCACTGTGGTAGTTACATAATCTGGTATCAATTTGGGATTTGAGAGGGTGAAGATTGAAGGGGTGGAGTCTGGTCTGTCAGTCAGGTCATAGTCAATAAGGCCTCTGTGTGGGCATGGCCCTCGGCTGAGGATTCTAGGAATTCCTGGATTTCCTCCTTGGAGGCGGAAGACACACTCTCTTTCTGTCTCAGTCTCTCTCTTTCTTGACTCATTCCCAGAAGACACTCTCCTGACAAGACACCTGGCACTACACTGATGGACCCTGTGTCCTGGAAACTGGAGAAGCCATGTGGCTAGCCCTGCCAGCGCTGAAATGCTTACACCACCACTGGATCCACAAGACTTTCCATCTACTGGCCTGTGATCCTCCTGCATTCAGTGTCATTCCATGTGTTTCGTAAGTCTGAAGAGACTTTATAGTTTGGTATTGGACATATGGGCTAATATCAGACTTATGGACTTGATCTGGACTTGGCTGGGATGTTTTCTTAATGTACAGTTGCTCTTGTATATAAAGCTCTTTCTTATACACATATGAGTCTCTCTGGATTTGTTTCTCTAGTCTACCTGGGCTAACATAGTCACCATGCCAAAAAAGAAATGATCAACAATCAACCATTTCAAGAAGTAGCTTATGTTGAAGAACCAATGGTATTAAAAAAGTCCAAGATGCACTAAAGGCACTGGATAAAACAAGGCTCTGGGAATTAACCAAATGCTAATTGAGATGTGTCAACAAACTGATACAGCACTGGAAGCACTCATGAGTCTATGCCAAGAAATTGTGAAGATGGGTACCTGGCCAAGTGAATGAAAGAGAGTTCTCTGCAGCCTCTTCCAAATAAAATGACAACGCAACACAGAAAAATTAAACAATATCTTACCATCACACGCAAGTAAAATTATACTGAAAATAATTGTTTAAATGGTAGCAGCGGTCCGTTGTCTTACATTGAAGCCACACTTAAAAAGGTACGGAGAAGAAGGGTGATCATTGTTAATGGAACTTGGCTGAAAGCAGACAATACCAGGAAGATGTTTGCCTGTGTTTTATTGACTATGTAAAGGCATTCGACTGTGCTGAATACAATAAATTATAGATAACATTGTGAAGAATGGGAATTGCAGAACACTACATGTTCATGTAGCACATGTCCATAAACCAAGACCTGGTAGTTTGAATAGAACAAAGGATGCTACTTGATTCAATATCAGAAAAATGTTGCATCTTTTCCTCATATATAGTCAATTTGAATGCTAAACAAATAATCGGAGAGACTGGACCATATGAAGAAGAACACAAGGTCAGGCTCGGAGGAGCATGCAGTAGCAATCAGATTTACAAGTGGCACACTCCTGCTTGCTGAGAATGAAATCAACCTGAGAATTTACACACAATGATCAAAGGCTAAAACCCTTATCATGGATTATCCGTCAACATAAAGCAAACAAAAATCTTCACAACTGCTCCAATAAGCATCATGAGAAGTGAAGAAAAGACTGGAATTGGCATGGCTTTTATTCTTCTTGGTTGTTTAGTCCGCACTTCTTTAACCAAGAGTCAAGAAATCTAATGATGTATCACGATGGATAAATATGTCAGAGATCTCTATAAAGTGTTTAAAAAAACAAATAAAAATACCACTTTGAGGACTAAGGTGTGCCTGACCCAAGCCATGGTATTTTCAATCACCTCTTATGCATGTGAAAGCTAGACAATGAATAAGAAAGACAGGAGAAGAATTGACGCATTTTAATTATGGTGTTCGTGAAGAATACCAAGTACCCCATGCACTGCCAGAAGAACGAACAAATCCATCATCGAAGTACAGCGAGAATGCCCCTCAGAGGAGGCATGGTGAACACGTTCTCATGTATTTTCACATGTTTCATAAAACACCAGTCCTTACAAAGAGTCATCATGTGTGGTAAAGGAGAGGGCCATTGAAAATGTGAAAGACTCTCAATGGGATAGACTGACACAGCATCAGTAACATTGGCCTTGACAGTTCCTAACATCAACAGCATGTATTTTAAAGTAAAAGCTTGTACTACTTATGTGTCAACTTGTTGTTGATAGACGCCAACGGGTCAGTTCGGACTTAGAGTGACCCTATGTACAATAGAGCGAAACACTGTCCGGTCCTGTGCCAGCCTCACAAGAGTTCTTCTGTTTGAACCCATTGTGTCAATGAGGCTAGACTATTAATCTCAGGGGGAGGCATTGGTAGATATTTTGTAACCATGTGTTTGGGGATCTGATGTAAGCAGTCTATCAGATGAAAAGGGGGTTTCCTTGTTTTGTGGGGGTGGGGGAGAGTGTACTGCAGTCAAAATTACATAGATGTCACAGCAAAACTTACTCTCACTCAACTCTGCACCTGACTAGTCGTTCCTTGACACCTGGTTTTTGGCACAGGAGCTGGCCGTCTGTGTGTCTGACGTACAGACTTTAGGATTTGCTAGTTCCTGCTACCGAGTGAGTCGGAGAAGGCTCCAGGATGATGTGTTAGCAATTTCCCTGAAATAAATCTTACTGTATATTTACATATGCTCTTCTTTTGGTTTTGCTCCTCTGGAGAACCCTGCCAAAGACAAAACTCTGCCTTTGCAATCCTAGATATAAGCCCATATTTCAGTGATTTTCATTTTTTTTAACTTATATTGAACAGATCATAAAAATTCCCCAAACAAGAGAAATAGTAAAAAAGGATATTTCTTTATATTCAGTGTTTTATGTCTTTCCTTAATTGTCCTCTAGCTACTACTATTGCACATTGTGTCTTGTATAGCACTAGAACTAAATTCATCCATTCACATGCTCTCCTCTCTTGCCTTTTGTCTGATTGTGTGGTATTTTTTTCTTTCTAAAATAAGATACAAAAACTAAACCTAAACCTGAATCTTGACTCAATTCCTCATATCATGAAGCTAAAATCTTATCCCATCAAATCAACAATGAAAAACTAGAATGATTTGAGACTTTTAATGTACTCAGATAAGATATTAGCTTAAACAACCAACTAAAAAGAAAATTAACTCATACAATACTGAATATAATCAAAGCTCAAAAAAAATATTCATTTCAAAAAATCAATACACATGCCATTTTTTCCCAGCCCAAACTGACCAAAACAAAACCTGCTGCCGTCCAGAGACTCTGTATCTTTCTGGAAGCAGACAGCTTCATCTTCTTTAAGTGGAAGAATTAAAAGACTCACGTTTTTAAGTGTAAGAGCATCTCTGAGAAGGATTGTTACCACTCAGGGCGTACAACTTTATTTCCCATCATACTCACTGCAGTCTAGACTCACCGGCAAGATGGCAACCTGGGCATGGGTCTCCTGCAGGTTTTCTTTCATTATGATCATTGTTTCTTGTAGCATATAATCTTCACTTTCAGTAGCTTGATGATTGATGTGCAATAGGAAATTGGGTTTAGCTACCAAATGAATGACAATGTCTCCAAATAATCCTTTATCTCGAACAATTTGTAACTGAAGAAGGGTGATGTTCTCTGTAAGATAGACATGCTTCCCATAAATAAGCTTGTTAATTTTTTTGTCAGTGCTCTGTAAGGCACTTAGAGTAGAATAGTTTACACTATTCCTTTAAGTCCGTTAAGGAAAGATAGGAAAGAGAAAATTTATACTATCAAGGAATATTTTGCTCCTGTCTCTCTCGTTCACAAATGTCAAGAATCATCTTCAATTCCTATCATTTAATTTTTCCTCTGTGAATAGACTGAGGTTTATAGAGGAAATTGGTTTTCTAATAATTCGTACACATTTTATTTCATGTCACAGATGGCAATCCCCACAATGCAACATCACTCATCCCACTTCTACATGGTGATTCAAAATGTTGCTTCTCCTTCTGTTGTAACCCTCGCTGCCTTCTGACTTTGTTCTGGGGAAGATGCTGCCCTTTGGATTTAATTGGTTGATTTCTCGAAGGAATGTGTATATCCCTCCTGCTGTTTGTTGACCTTATTAATTTCTCTATTATTTGGCTAAAAATTGAGCTACAGGCATGAGCTCGGTCCCCGACCGGAGGGCTGACTGAAGGCCACAGTCCTGAGAGTTCCGCCCAGGGGTGGGATTCAGCTGGTTCAAACCAGTTGGCAAATCAATACCTAATATTTTTGTTGAGTTCAGGGAACTGATTGTTACACCTGTAGGCAAGGTTCTCTCTAAGGTGGGTGGCTGGGCAGCTACTCAATGTGGGTATCAGAAATTTACACTCCTTACTTTTTTAACATTCATCTGCACAAGAGTGTATTCCAAGCACCCATGCTAGTGTTCATTCCATCTATAGACATAAAAAATTAGATGGAACTATACTTGTAATAATTATTTATTCATTTCATAAGTCTCTTTATAAACTTTGGGTGAAATACTACAGCATTTTTGTTCCCTTGCATTTGTTACTTCAGTAAACTCACTTGTAACATGAGAAAAAGAGCCAAACAACCAGAGGGTGACAAGCTGTCATTCATTTCAGCTACTGTCTAATTGGCTTACCTCTAAAGGAATGGGATTCTACCCCTACAGTGAAAAGATGGTTAAGGATAAATCACATAGCCAATGATGCTCAGGTAAAAGCAAAGAATATTGTAAATGAAGATAATAATCAAGAAGCAATATGGAAATATCTTAACGGTTTTACTGGGGTTTTTCAGATATTATTTAATAATTTTTCATTGAAATTAAAACTCTTCCAACATAATCTATTTTTGCGCATTTATTTTATTGTTCTTATTTAAGTATCAACTGTATGAAATAATAAACTACCTTTCGGTCTATTGTTTTTTACAAGTAAATCTGTCCCTAAGGCAGTGAGCTGGTTGTTAAATGATTTCAATCCCACCACTGGTTTCACCCATCTCTACCAAACAAGCAACTGTGGTCCTTCGTGTAATTCTGAGTTTCCCTTCACATTTTCTGCACTTTTTTCACGTGACCCCTCTTAGAACAGCCGGCAGTGGCAGCCAGGCACCATCTCGTTCTCCTGGTCTCAGCGCCCTGTGGTCCCCTGGTTTGTTGAGCTGTTTCAGTATGTCTTCGATGTTCACCACTCTTCTTTGTTCTGAACAGTGCAAGCAAGAGTTGCACCTGAGGAGGCCACCAATAAGCTTTTAAGACCTCCCCCCTACTTACAGAACAGGACATAGAACAGTGTCTTGTGGATTGTGTTATGCCAATTCACCTTGATGTTCCCTGAACCTTCAGGTCCAGCAACTCATTCCCTCAAGGTGCTTGGTGATGGCTCATAATAAATCCTGTGTTTTTTTATTAGTTGTATAAATAAATGTAAATGATAAATGAAATAATAATGAATAATAAGTAATTTCAATAATAAATGAATGAAATAATAAATGAAAATAGAATGTACCTGTTCATTTCTCCCAGTGATATTATTATATTTATAATAACCAAAGAGTACATCTTTTGAGACTACACAACACAATTCCTAATGCTAACTGCTTCCAAAATGTTTGTTGAATAAATGAATGTAAATTTATTGTTTCTGTTATGATATAAAAGGGTATATAAAAGCCATTGACATATAATCTAAATATCCATACATAATTTATATACCGTACATACTCGAGTATAAGTAGACCTGGATATCAGTCAAGGCACCTAATTTTACCACAAAAACTGCATTAAAGATTTGCTGAAAAGCTCAGCTTATACACGAGTATATACGGTATATAATCCATGTAGCTATAGATAATATAACTGTTATTGATATTCATTAATTATTTAAATAAGCTTCTCAAAAGCAGGATGTCTGTGGTATTAACTCAAAATTACCAAAGCACATAATATTTTTCAGAATTCTCACATGTAAATCAAAAAGCCTTTATCTACGATAATCTATTTATCCTGTGAACAATTCTTTAGGTAAAGATTTTAGCACTAAACTCAAAGATTTAGGATTTACTACTATCTACTTCATAAGGAAATGCTGTTTTTTTTTTAAACAGGTAATATCTTAACCATCACCTCCTCAAAAGGATCTACCATAAGAACCCTTTCCATGAGTCTGGGAATACAGTGCGGGGCTCTCCAGCTGCAGAGTGTGCCTATTCCAATCATGCATTCTGGAACTGGGGAAATAACTATAGGATGAGTTCAGGGAACCACCATGTTGCTCATAATTCCCTCTAATTACAGAAAATCAATCATAGGGGAGAAATCTAAGTGAGAAAAGAGAACAGATAATGAGGAAAAAAGAATGAAAAAGAAACAACATCGAACAGCGATGACTCATTAAAATCCTAGTATTTAAACTAGGTTAGCTGTATCTTAAAGTGCAAAGGTATTTTCTATAGCACTATTGCAAAATGTGGTTACATGGTTGAAAAACTTAATGAAAAATAGGAAAGATAAAAAGAACTGGCTATGACCTGTCAAACTGATAACATCATATAAAAAGAAAAACTTATATTCTTCATAATAAAGTTAAATTACCCAATAAAAAGGTCTTAATCTCAATCCCCACTGCCATCAACTCAATTCCAACTCATAGTAACCCTATAGGATAGAGCAGAACTGCTCATTTGGTTTTCCAAGACTAAATTTTTGCAGGAGTTGACAACCTCATCTCCCTCCAGTGGAGTAGCTGGTGGGTTGCAACCTCTGACTTTTCAGTTAGCAGCACAACCCATAATTCACTATGCCACCACGGGGTCTCTTATTACAACATGAAACATATTTGACAAGATTTACCTTTTGGCTCAGCTACTCTGACAATGAGAGACTCAGCATGCCAACCCACCGAGCCATAGGGTGAGTCATTGGATAGAATAGTTATCAGAGACTTGTTCCTTTTCTGGTCAATAGTAGCACCTCTTGATAGGTCCTTGATCCCTTCTGTGATAATGCTGGTGAGTGATACAATCACACCCTTTGATAACTCTGGTAAGTCATCAGCGAGAACAGCCAAAGTGATTGTTGATAGTGCCTGCCCTTCGGAAAATGAAATCTACAATTAAAAAAAAATCTTTAGTTAGTAATTATCACTATGCAGTAAGAATATTTAAAAAGTTTAATTTTGTTTACAACTGACTACAACTTCCATAACAAGATATTCAAGAAACAAAATGAATAGACAAATAAAATAATTGTTTAAATAAAATGTAGAAGGCGAACGGGGGAGAAGTAAATAATTTCTAAAATATAAGCACAGAGAGCTGTAGGCATTGTCAAATTCCAAAGCCTACATTTCATTAAAATAAATAAGACAATCTTTGTTTAGGAATTAGGTCCCAGATACCACATATACAAATTTGAATCAACCAAAATAGAGGTAGACAAAGAGAGATAAGATATAAGAAGCAGATCCTCTCTTTCCTTATGCTCAAAACTCACTGACATCGCTCCAATGTCAAAGAGTTACACCTAAGTTTTTTAAAATCATCCAAGAACCTTTCTAAGAGAGCTTCTGTTTCTTAACGGTTGATTCCTACTCTTCAACTTAAATCTGATTCTCCAGTAATATGGCTTCAAACTATTCACAATTATTCAAGGGCTCATCCAATTATATATTGTCTGTTTTCATGTAGAAAAGCAAAGTTCACTAGTTCTGACAGACTATTGAAAAAGTCCTGAAAATCTGGCACAATTCCCACACTCTGTCTCCAGTGTTGTCCCCCCACCCTACCCCTACCCATAGCTCAATGGGTCAGTGAGGGATGTCATGTCTCATGGTGGGGTGGGCCCTATGTTTCTCTCTGTGCATTGGCTGCTCTGAGCAGGAATATCATCCTCAGG